CCTTGGGATGTCCCATCTTTACACACCTTCCAGATATTTCTGTCAGGACCCCTCTACTTCCCAAGGTCTGTTTTCTCCTGCCTCCTCTGCTATTCAAGCCCTCTGCCCTCCTTTTCTAGGCTTAGCTGCCTTCTCCAGTCTCTGCTTGCTCCGCATTCAGAACTAGAGCTGCCCAACCAAATCTCCTCCCACTTATGTCCAGCTTCCCAACTCCAGCTCAGACTTAATTAAGAATGGTGACTGAATCTCTTTCTGTGGCCACCCCTTGAATCCTCCTAATTGCTAAATTAATACCCTGACTCCAAAGTTTCCTGATTGATCCTGACCTATGGGAAGGGAGGGGGAGTTGCCAGAGTCATTTATCATCCAGATGTTTTCACAGCTGGGCAGGACAGCTGCAAAAGACTTGCCAGATGCAAGTGAGATCTTCTCAGCCCTAGCTATGGTGACAGAACCTTATTTCAGATTCTTGAAGGCTCACCCCATCACAATTATTTTGAAATGTAGTTTCAAAATTACATTTGAAATGGGTCATGGGAATTGCTATCGAGGGAGTTATTTTAAAGGGAACCACAAAAATTTATCTTCTGCCTCCAGAATCTATACCCAGATTGAAATAGGCTGGCTTAATTTTTTTATGTTGAAGGAAAGCAACAGAAGCTTCTAGCATCTTAAGATCTTTATTACAATATGTGTGTGCTTTTTTTGGTATGTATAAAGAAGGAAGAGAGATTATTGAAGGGGAGTTCAGAGACATATGAAATATGAGGTGAAGACAGTGAAGCAGGATTCAACTTGGTTGAAGTAGGTTGCACTGCGAAGTTGAACAAAAAGAAAAGTCAGTGGCAAACCACTTATCGTTGCCACAAAAATACAATGATATTTATTTGTTTAGGAAATTCATTGGCCACCCATCTGGTATCTAACAACTCTGGACAGCTATGTTTCCAGAAGTTTGATTGAAAAGACACCTTACCTTTAGAGATAGTACACAAAAATGGGTTTCAGGTGTGAGATAGAAAGTTTTGCATTAGTGACCTGATCAACACATGTCATCTGATCAAAACCTTAGATTGTTGGAGCCACAAAAATGTTGCCAGATCCTCCTGTTTTAAAAAATGGTGACTGAACTGCCGAGTCAGTAATAATAAATCAGAGACAGAGAAATCTGGAGAAGGAGTGGGCCGGGGACACACATGACATAAACACTTTTCCCATTTTTCCAATGTTTTTAGTGAGGAGGGGGCATATTTTATTCTCACATTAGATATGTGCCCATTTATCAGGGGTCTTCAAACTTTTTAAACAGGGGGCCAATTTATGGTCCATCAGATTGTTTGGATAGGGCGGGCCAACTGGGTGGGCATGGGTAGATGGTCATATGACTGGTGGGTGTGGCTAGGTTGTCATGTGACTTGGTGGGTGTGGCTAATTTAGCAGTCCATTAAACAATACACCCCAATTAAACTTTAATTTGCTCCTGAGGGTGTTTTATTTACTTTTGTTTGCATGCTGCTCTTTTGGTTGACTTTTCTTTTTACTAGATTGTTTTTTTAAAAAGTTGTTTAGGAGTCTAGTCTCTAGTCTCTCAAGGAGCTTACAACCAACAAGTAGAACAAACCAGGGAAGGCATTGCCTCTCCTTGTTTTGGGTGGGTGGGAGGCAAGGGACTCAGCAAGGGCCTCCTTACAAAGGCAAAGGAGGAGGTTTATGTCTACTCCAGAATCTGGAAACAGGCATCCCTCAGCAGCAACCTCCCACATACTTGGGACTGTTCCCCCGGTGAAGCCCTTCAAACAATACAAGCTCCTTTTGCTCTCCCTCCACTGCTGCTCAGTGCCAGAACAGACAAGAAGGAAAAGGGGTGCTTCTCTTCTGGGCTTGATTCCTTTGCCCCAGTGATGAAATTCAATTTTTTTACTACAGGTTCTGTGGGTGTGGCTTGGTGGGCATGGCAGGAAAAGGATACTGCAAAATCCCCATTCCCTCTCCACTCCAGGGAAAGGATATTGCAAAATCTTCATTCCCTCTCCACTCCAGGGAAAGAATACTAAATCCCCATTCCCTCTCCACTCCGCGGAAAGGATACTGCAAAATCCACATTCCCTCTCCACTCCGGGGAAAGGATATTGCAAGATCTCCATTCCCTCTCCACTCCGGGGAAAGGATATTAAATCCCCATTCCCTCTCCACTCCGGGGAAAGGATATTGCAAGATCTCCATTCCCTCTCCACTCCGGGGAAAGGATATTGCAAAATCTCCACTCCGGGAAAAGGATACTAAATTTAGATTTAGATTTAGATTGTTTATTTGTATGCCGCCCTTTTCCCTGGGGGGACTCAGGACGGCTCACAATCCAAAGGGGGGGGAAATCTTCATTCCCTCTCCACTCCGCGGAAAGGATACTTCAAAATCCCCATTCCCTTTCCACTCCTGGGGCAAGCCAGAGGTGGTATTTGCCAGTTCTCCAAAATATTCAAAATTTCCGCTAGCGGTTCTCCAGAACCTGCTGAATTTCACCCCTGCTCTGCCCCCTCCCCAATAGCTCCCTTGTCAAGATAACGTTTTTCATGCTGGCTGAAGCAACAGCCATGAGACCCAGGTAAGCCCCTTCTGGCACAAGGGCCTCCTCTGCCTTCCTGGGATTAGCTGGACTACTAAGTATAGTAGTCTGCCTGCTCCCTTAATTGGTGGGCAAAGGGAAAGGAGGAATTACGAGACTGGTCAGCCTTCCTAGAAAGGGTTCCCTTCCTCCCCCTCCCCCACCCCAATTTGGCTATTGAGAATAAGGCTGGCTTCCCTTCATCCCTGATCTTGATCAAAGAGCCCATAGCCTCAATCTGAAACCTACGAAGAGGGATAGGGGAGCTCGGGAGATGTGCTCACCTTTTCCAATTAAGAAAACTTAAAATGCTGCTTTTTAAGAATGCTGCACCAAAACTTTTTCTTGAGTGGAGAGGAGGAAAACCACCCTTAGTGCAGGGCAGTGGTGGGTTCCTAACCGGTTTACTACTGGTTTGCTGAGATAGGGCATTTTGTGCATGCGCAAAAAATTTGTGCACGCACGTTCCCACCATACATTACTGCACATATGCAGTTCACTAAAAACTGTTCTGCACATGTGCAGAAACATGCTGGCGATGGGAGAAGAGACCGGGGAACTGATTCGGCGGCATGGCAGCCCTAGGTTGCTGCCAGTTCCAGCGACTCAGGCCACAAACCACTACCAGTTGGCTGAACTCGTCTGAACCAGTAGGAACCCATCACTAGTGCAGGGCTCCTGCTTCTGCTGCCGCCATGCAAGCCCTTCCACAGCAAAGGCGACATCCACAGGGCCAGAGATTGGGGGGAGGGGGTTCCCTACTGGTAACATTGCCTCGCTGCCATGTGACAGCTGAAGCAGGGGCAACAGGCCCTCTTTATCATGAGGATGCCTTCATGCATCCCATTTGTGGCCTATCTGGCCCCCAGAAGCATTCTGTTGGCCAAAAACTTTGGCCGTTACTTTCCAGTTTCAGCCTGGGGGGATTGTGAAAATAAGGCCTGCACTCGGCCAGCAGGTGGGCGGGGCAGTCTCCTGGTCCCACATGAGGTGGATTAATGGCTTCAATGGGCCATATCCAGCCCATGGGCTGTAGTTTGAGGACCCCTGCCATTTATTATTCCCTGCATTGACCAATCACCCAATCATTTTTGGAAGGCAATGTGGTATTTCTGATGGAAGATAGTTCTGGGAAAGGAACTAGTAAGTCTTAGATAAACCTAGAGAGCATATTAAAAAGCAGCCATCTTGCCGACAAAAGGTCTCTATGTTTAAAGCTATGGTTTTCCCAATAATAATTTATGACCCTGAGAGTTTGCTCATAAAGAAACCATAATGCTTTGACCATAATGCCTCACATTGGAATACTGCATCCAGTTTTGTAAAAAAAAGTGTTGAGACTCTAGAAAGAGTGCAGAGAAGAGATTATAAAAGCCCAGTCTAGCACAATACCAATGAAGAAGAAAAATAACAGCTCCCAAAAGAAACCAGCTTGGCTGCATAAAGAACGCTGATAAATTGAAGGACAAAAGGATAAGTATAAAAAGTGGAAAGAGGGGCACATAACTAAGGCAGAATATCAGCAAATAGCCTGAGCCTGTAAAGATGAAGTGTGGAAAGCTAAGGCTCACAATGAAGAAAAGCTTGCCACAAAAGTAAAAAATAACAAAAAAAAGCTTCTTCCAACATGTTAAAAACCAGAAAAAAGTCAAGGAAACAATTGGTCCATTGCTGGGAGAAAGTGGCAAGAAGGTGACCAGCAACAGGAAGAAAGCAGAACTATTTAACTCAATTTTTGCATCTGTCTTTACACAAAGGGGAAAAACAGTCCAACCTATCAAAAACAGCACCACAAAAATCAGATTAGGAACACAAGTTAAAATAGGAAAGAAAATAGTAAGTGAGCACCTGTCCACCCTAGACGAGTTCAAATCATCAGGAAAAGATGGATTACACCCCAGGGTTCTGAAGGAACTGGCAGAGAAGATCTCAGAACCACTGAACTATATCTTTCAGAGATGCTGGAGCACCAGGGAACTGCCAGAGGACTGGAAAAGAGCTGATGTGGTTCCCAAGTTCAAAAAAAGGAAAAAAAATAGATCCAGGAAACTGCAGGCCTATCAGCCTGACTTCAATTTCTGGAAAAGATAAGCAAGCAATGAATCAGCAAACACCTAGAAGTAAATAAAGTAATAACCAAAAGCCAACATGGGTTTGTCAAAAACAGACCATGCCAGATTAATCTTATTGCATATTTGATGAATTTCCCATTTGTTCCCTCATCCAAATCA